CTCCGAGTCCAGCAGCCCAGGGGGTCGCCTCCGAAGGAAAGGTGCACGGGAGCACAGCCGCCCAGCGGGACACGCCTGGGAAGGGAGAGCAAACAGCCATGTCTGACCTCCCCCTCCCCCACGCACAAAACACCCTCCACTTCCCTTCCCGATGCCTGGAGCCCACCCAGCCCTTCCCTCCAGAGCGGGGTGGGTGGAGGAGCTGCCACCCCCGGAGCCACAGGGGCCGGGCCTCACATAGGCAGGCTGGACACTAACACAGGCAGCAAAAGCTGGACCCAGAACAGACACCCCAGCTCTGGGCGGGTCTCCCAGGCCCGTCCCCACAGGCTCTGAGAATCTGGGGGTGGCCCTCTCCCCAACAGGTGGCCTTCTACAAAGACCTGCCGCTCCTGAGCACGTCCTGAAGGTCAGCGAGGACGCACCACGCCAACGATGGCCTGGACCTACCACCCGGGCGCCCACAGGTGTCTGCACAAAATGGCAAACACCAAGAAGCCTTTGCCAAGCCCACTGCCTCCCACTCAGCCCCTCGCTGCTCCCCTCCCCCAGCAACGGGCAGGCGCCGCTCCCTCAGGCCGCCTGACCCACAGCCTGTCCTCCTGGCCCGTGACACGCAAATACGTCCCGCCTGCTCCGTTCCCCTGCACCGGCTCCGTGAAGCCCCGTGGGAGACCCAGCGGCTTCTGTATCTGCGCCCCTGAGCCCTCTCCATCCACACTCAGGCCCCAGGGCGCCCGGGCTGTGGCCGCCCACGTAGGCCAGGCTGCTCCCTGGGCCCCCACAGCTGCATCCTCGGGTCCACCCCCAAACGGCCCTGGGAGGAGGGCAGCAGCAGCCTGAGTGCCTGGAGCAGGGACCGTGCCACCCACAGCTTATGGTGCCCGGCCAGAGCCTGGCACCACCCAGGTCTGCACTCGATGAGGAGACCCTCTTCCGGCTGCAGCAGAGACAAAGACGTCTACAGGGCCAACTGGACAGCTGCCCACAGTCCCTTCCATTTCCATCTCCCACTCGTCTGTCACTGAAGCCTCTCCTTGGTCAGGCACAAACCTGCCTCCGGGTGGCACAGGCTCCGACTTACTTCAGGGCACACCCAGCGTCTCCTGCCAGTCACCTCTCGGCACCTGGCTTGCCGCTGGCAGGGAGGACCTGCGCCCTGGAGCAGACTGTCCCAGTTCAAATGCCACCTCCACTACTTGTTGCTGTGTGACCTCGGGCAAGTAACCTCACCTCTCTGTGCCTCAGAATGTCCTCTGGAAGTGTGTGTGCTGCCACACTGTGTGACAGCATCTGGCGCACAGCACAGGAGTGGCAGCTATTGCTACTGCCCACAAAGTGGGTGAGAAGCTGCCAATCGGGGGGGAAGAAACTCGTAGCTTATCGTGGGCAGGTACAGCTGGCACAGGGCACCGCCATCCCCCCACCTCTGCCGCCTCACTTCTGTCCCTCACACCCTCCCTGTCCTGAGTCTCAGGCCCCGGGGGACAGGCTGCCAGGGCGCAGGAGGGCTGCTCGGGCTCGGCAGTCCCCTGACCACTGCAGCAGTGAGACTGTCACGCCTGTCCTGGGGGACAGTGGCCACACACACAGATCAACCTTCCTCCTGGGCTCATCAAGCTGAGTATCCAATTTCCACCCGCCATTAGCCAGGAAGCCAATGGCTTCCAGGAGAAGGCGTGACATCACAGTCTCCAGGGGCAGCCAACAGGCTCGGACAGATGTGTGAAGTCAGGCTGAGCTGAGGAGCACCTGGTGTGCAGCGAGGGCCTGCTGCCTTTCAGCACATTAGAGAGATTGTTACTAACACTCCAGCCAGAAAGGGGGAGCTATTTTCAAAAGCATACGGTGTCATTTACTATTTAAAAATCCTGAACTAAACCAATCTGGGCACGGCCACCTCTCCGGGCAGCTGGGACAGATGGCATCGTCAAGGCCGCCCCTGCTCTGCCCACACCCGCCAGAGCGCCCAGCACGGAGAAGCACCGCCCCTCACCTGCGCGGGCAGCAGCCACACCTGTTTCTCCTTCCTCCCCCCGTTCATAGGTCACCTTCCCACTCGGGGAGCCCCCGGGGGAGGCAGCATGTCAGCAGGGAGCACGTGGTCACCGAGGAGGCCCCTTCGAGCACAGGCCCGCGTCGGGCTCCCCTCGCTGCGCGTTTCACTTCAGGACGCAGGCTGCGTCCTTCTCAACCAGCCGCCTGCCATCCACCCAGAAGAGCAAGGCTAGGCAGCGCCTGGCAGAGGAGCAGGGCTCACGGTGTTGGCTCACGGGCCACTAAGCTCCTGGTACATGTCCCCCGGAAGGGACAGCCCACCAAGACAATGGCCCGCGGCCGGGACACCACTGTCCTTCAGGAACACGACACCAGAGGGGCAGGGCACCTCTCTGCCCAGAGATGAGAGAAACCACAGGCCCCCAGCTGGGGAACCAGAGGCCACCACCCACAGCACCTCAACGCCTGCTGGAGGCCCCAGGCCCCGCACCACCCGCCTAGCAACCCCTCGCTGTGCGGGGAGCACTGGCGCCGACACAGCCAAGCGTGTGAACAGTCACACCGTGAAGCGTAAGGATACAGACGGCCTCCCGCTGCCCAGGCTTTCCCGCTGAACGAGGTTATAGTCTGGTCCTCAGAGCTGGTGCCTCCCTCTCCTCACCGCTGGGGAGAGGTCAGGAGCAGCGGGGTGACGTCCACGACGAGGTCGAGGACCAGAAACTCTCCACCTGCTCACTCATCCAGGCCTGAACCACTTCAACCAAAGGCAGAGATTGCAAAGCAACTAATACAAATGGCTGCCACTTGCAGATACGTCCCTGTGTGACTCAGGATTTCTTATATTGTGCCATCAAAATAAAGAGTAAAATTTTTGGATGCTGAAAATGACATGAGATTCTGCCTCTCATCTATAATTCCTAATTTGAACCTATTGTTTAACTTTCTAAAGAAAGTGTTTAACTTTCTAGAAGTTGTGAACTTATAAAAAATATCAATAAAGCACAGCTTTTGTTTTAACTAGAGGCCCGGTGCCTATGCACCGGCGGGTCCCTCAGCCTGGCCTGCACCCTCTCGCAATCCAGGACCCCTCGGGGGATATTGGACTGCCAGTTTCAGCCCGACCCCGCAGGCCAGGCTCAGAGACCCCACCGGCCTCTAGTATGCATATATGATCTTTGGTTAATCTCTTCCCACCCACCCCCACCACCCCTCCACCCCCAATTCCCTCTGAGATTCATCAGTCTGTTCTATGTTTCCACGCCTGTGTTAAGCGTCTGCCCCCTGGTGGCCAGTGTGGGTCACAGCTACCGCTCTAATGGTCGCTAAGGTGTATATATAGATATGAACCATGAGTGCAAGTATATTTGAATCTTAGAGGTTCTCGACAAAGTCAGCACCCATTGCTAATAAAAACTTTAAAATGAGAAAAACAAGCTACTGTTACACACAGCAGTGCACACCAGACACTGTGCTTGCTATTGTGAGGACGCACGCATGACCACAGCTGTCATGCCTGGCCCCAGAGACAACAGGCCTTGCGACTGAGGTCCGAACTGCAACCACACGACCAAGGCCCTGTGTGGAGGACGACCCCCAGCACTAACTACAGAGGCTACCACAGCAGCTACAGATGCTCAGTGGAGCTGTGTGAAGTGCCGGCCCAGGAAGACCGATGTCCTGAGTAAAGACCATCCCACCACCACACAGGTCACCTCTGGGAATTGTCGTAAAGGCAACTGTTTAACTTTCTAAATAAAGTAAGTGTGGCCCATATAAAGAAACTGACATACCTTCTTCTGAAAGAGAGAAAAGGTCTTAATAAAACTACTTACACCAGGGACACCGTATGTGAATTAGAAAGCTGCCCGGCTGGTGTTGCTCAGTGATTGAGTTCTATTCCCAGTCGGGGCATATACACGGGTTACGGTCTCCATCCCCAGTGGGAGCGTGCAGGAGGCAGCTAATCAATGATTCTCTCATCATTGATGTTTCTCTCTCTCTCCCCCTCTCCCTTTCCTTTCTGAAATCAATAATATGTGTGTGTGTGTGTGTGTATGTGTGTGTATATATATATATATTTTTAAGTTAACATTCCTCTCCCTGGCTGGGTGGCTCAGTTGGTTGGAGCATCTCATGCACCAAAAAGGCTGTGGATTCGATGCCTGGTCAGAGCGCATACGGGAGGCAACCTATTGATGTTTCTCTCTCTCCTCCCTCCTCTCCTCTAAAAATCAATAAAAACACATCCTCAGGTGAGGATTTAAAAAACGGTAGTATTCCCCAATGATTTTATGGATTTAATGGCATTTCAGTTACAATCCCCAAAAGACCATTTTAGAACTGAAATAATCTCGCTGAGGGACAGCCCAGAGACGAGGGCCGGCTGGAGAACTCGCACGGAGTGACAGGCGCGGCCCAGGAACAGCCGCGCCCATGGGGACAGGCCCTGGTCCTGCAGGCTCCAGGGCCCGGTCAGCGGCGCCTGGGCTGCTCCTGCAGGTGAACCCAACCGCACAGCCGCCCCCAACCTGGCTTGGCCGTCAGGACTCTTAACCAGCGACCACACACCCAGCACTGACTGCCAGCCGGGGGCCACCTCCTTCACGCACCAGGACCAGACCCCCGGGCCGCAGGGCCTTGTTTCCTACCACCCACAGGCCCAGGCCCTTGAATGCCCCTAGTCCACTTCAGGATGAAATCTACGAAGACCAGGAGTCCAGATGTCCTCTGCTCATACATCAAAGGCTCCCGTCGTAACCAGAAGGGTTCCACAGCTCTGGGGCCACAGAAATCCAACTAAAATCAAAGCCGGGAGCACTCTGGCTGCAGGAGGGCCAGGGGGGCTGCTGCTGGGAGCGGCTCCTACACAGACTTTGTTGTGTCCCCTCGAAGGCTGTGCTTCTGCCGGTCCTGCCATCAGATACGCGCACATGTGTGCAAGGCTGTGGGCAGGCTCATGTGAGCACTTCATAAAGTCTTAAAATGGGAAATACGCTTGAGCACAATTTTGCTTTAACAACCACCAAGTTTTGGTTGTTTGGGGCGTGCAGGAGGCAGCTGATCAATGATTCTCTCTCATTATTGACGTTTCTCTCTCCTCTCTCTTCCTCTCTGAAATCAATACAAATATATTAAACTATATATATACATGTTTGTGTGTTTTTAAAGAAGCAGAAACATAAAAAATAGAAGAGCAGGAGACACTGGCTCCCCAAATGGAGGGTTCCCATCGTTCCAGCAGCCCCCGAGGCAGACACGCTTACTTACAGGCGGCTGATCCACCCCACGGTGCTGGCACAGCTGAGACAGGCGTGGTCCCCCGGAGTACCTGCAGCAAAGCAGAGGGAACAGTCAGTTCACACCAGGCGCTCTATGCTGACACCGCGGCGAGTCTGAAGGAGCCTCTCTAAGGTAAGCTGCTGGAAGCCCGAGTGCCTGCTAAACAGTTCAGGGTGCTGCCAGGTGAAGGGTTTGCCCCGGGACGGCCCGGTGTCTTGGGGGGGCTCTAGGGGAGAAGGGGAGCCCGAGTCAGCCCCTGGCTCCTCATCTCCCAAGTGGAGACACAGGCTCCGCCAGCCAAAGGCCCCCAGGGGACAGCTCCCTGCTGGCTCCAGCTTGGCTCTGGTGGGCAGAGCCAGAATGAACATGACCCCAACGCACAGGCAGCCCCACGTGCAAGCAAGGCCACACCCAAGTGACCCACCGCTTCCCCTGCCCACAGGGGCGAGGGCTGAGAATTACTGGAAAAACAAACGCCAAGAGTAAGCCATTTCTTGGCTAAACAACCCTGATGAGCACACAGCGCAATTGTAGGATCTGGTTGTATTTGTGACCCTCTCTCTACCTCACTAGTTCCCCTCAGCATAAGTGCAGGGCCACCCACATGACCAGCCTGCGGGCCTCCTGGGGTCAGGCTCTGTGCCGGGAAACAGCCTGAGGGGACAGGACAGTCCTGAGCCGCTGGGCGCGGGCGGGAGCCTGGAGGCGGCTGGCAGCAAGGCCGGCAGGAGCAGGCGTGCCTGGAACAGGCCGGGGTTGCTGAGAGCCAACGCTGGGGCCAGCAGAAGAGAGAAGACGGACGGGCCGCGGCCGGCCCCACCCTAGGCCCCGCGGTGTGGCCAGGCGAGGTGGACCCTGAGGACATGGACTCCAGCTGTCACTTGTGAAATTCGATAGGAGGCTGCTGTCAACAGGGACTAGTCTCACTTTCCTGTGCAGAAAGCTGCTCCCATCAAACATTAAATTTAGAGTCTTGCTCGTGGACGTCAGCCTGGCTGTAAGTGGGGGCGGGGCTCACTAGCTCGGTCACCATGGTTCATAAAGTACCTTTCCTATTTCACACGTGACATTTCCTGTTAACATTACAAAACACACGGCCAACACACCATCCAGCCGGGGAGCCCCCAGTTGTCTCCCAAAAAGAAGTCTGCCCCTCACCCCTGGCCTGTCCCCTCTGCCTGCCCAGGCCAGCCCCCCACCTCAAGTTGGCTCAGAAATGGCTCCCCACCTGCACATGCCCCCCAGAAGCCAACAAGCTGCCACAGCTCGAGGTGGCATGAGTTCACCCCCCCGCCCCCCGCCTCCTCCCTTCCCAGGCTCGCTGCACTCTGCAGGCCCCGCCCCTGCAGCAGCAAGGTGGTCCGTGGACACCCCTCCTCCTGGAAGCCCTGCTGTGTTGTCTTTTTCCCACAACTCCTCTCCCACACCAGCTGTGTGTCTACCATTCAATGCTGACACTACCCGGGTTAGTACAGACCCCAAGTTACACGAGACTCCCCGCCCACCCTGCATACGTGTCACTGCAAGGAGGGTGCCCAGGCTGCCCACGTTCTACCAACTACAAATGCAGGTCCCTGAACTCCTCACCTGACAACGTGCTGGAATGACACGGGACCCGGGAAAGTGCTCTCCTTGCTTCTGCAGTTTATTACAGAGGACACGGTGCCGCCCAGAGGAGGAGGCACAAAGCTCAAGGTCCAGCCGCCCTGAATGCAGAAGCTTCCTCCTTGTGGGGCCAGCAGGTGCCGCCAAGCCAGAAGCTCCCCACGCCTCCCTGTCCAAGACCTTTACCTTCAGTGCCTGGTGTGACTGGTTACCTGTTTGCCACTGGCGATTGAGCTCAATCTCCAGGCCCCCACTGCTCCCGGAGGCTGGCGGTGGGGTAGGAAGGTCCAGGCCGCTAATCACAGGTACTTCATTAGCATACACGCAGGTTAGAGGCAGAGTGGCTCATTATGCATCACCGGAGACACCCTGATCCCCTGATCGCTCCAGAAACTCCACCCACCAGCGAGGCTCAGTGGCTGAGGGTCGATTTATGAACCAGGAGGTTCAATTCCCCATCAGGGCACAGGCCTGGGTGGCAGGCTTTACCCCCTGTGTGGGGCGTGCAGGAGGCAGCCAATGGATGACTGTCTCTCATCATTGATGCTTCTCTCTCTCTCCCTTCCTCTCTGAAATCAATAAAATATATGGAAGGGAGAGAGAGAGAGAAACATCAATGATGAGAGAGAAACATCGATCAGCTGCCACCTGCATGGCCCACACTGGAGACCGAACCCACAACCCGGACATGTGCCCTTGGCGAGAATCGAACCTGGGACCCGTCAGTCCACAGGCCGACGCTCTATCCACTGAGCCACACCAGCCAGGGCCTATGTATATATTTAAAAATATGAACAAGAAATCCCAAGGGCTTTTGGAGCTCTGGCAGGAACTGGGGGAGGGACAGAGACCAAGTGTATTTCTTCACACCCCACACCTCTCTTCACGGGGCCGGATTCTCCCCCACCAGCTGCCCCACCTCCAGCTCCTGCACAGGCACTCATACCTGAATACCTGTGGGTACACCTGACCCAGCCTCCATGGGCACCTGCCATTCCACAGCTCTAAGGACCCCGGCTCCCGCAGGTGGCTCCTCTGAGGCCCCCGTTTCCATAATGGCCGGGGCTGGGAGCCTCCCTGATGGGTGCCTGCCCTCTGCCCTCACACCCAGTCCCTGGTGAAGGTGAGGGTGAACCTGGCCCGCCCGCCTCTAGGCAGCCCCAGGCCCACCCCAAGCATGCCCTGCACACAGCACTTCCTCCAAAGAGCAGCGTGCAAATGGGGGTGGGGGCGGGGAGTGACTGCAGAGCAGGGGGACCTGGCAGACCCCACCTGGGCCTCGCGCTGACAGCTGGCGCCCTGGACCAGTCTGTGTCACCTCTGCAGGCCCCTCCCCAAGACCCACAGCCTCTCTGACCCCGAGAAACATGGTTACATCCCCACAGAGGAGCAGCCACAATGTATCCGACCAGGCCTCCCGAAAACCCAGGAAGCTGGAGAAACTGGCTGATGGCCGTGGTCTCCTGCGGGGTCCGTGAGAAAGAGGCGCGTGCAGGACAGGACAGGACAGGAGAGTGTGGAACAGGGAAAAGGTATCGGAATAAGGGCATTGACCGGCGCGGCCGCAGCTCACAGTCTCCGCACTGGCTCCGCGACTGTAACGAAGAGGCGCCCTGATGTCAGATGTCAGATGCCAGCACCGGGCCTGGACCCGAAAGGCCGCAGCAGCCGGGAGCCCGCCGCCCACAGCAAACCC